GTTTAACTAAATTAGTTCAATGCACATAGTGTGTAAGAACTGGCTGCTAGTATGAGCAGTTCATAACAAATACTATTTCAAAAACAGTTCATAACAAAAAAATTTAAAATATAACAATAAAAAAGGGTAGTATCGTGGTGTACGGGAAATCTCAGGGGAGTTTATTGTAATGTAAATTTGCCGTATGCAAATTAATTCCGACGATTATTCGTATACATTTCGTTCTTACATATTAATCATTCAGTCAAATGTTAATGAGAAATTGTTTAAATAATAAAAAAGCAGTGAAAACATGCGAATTCACTCGTAGCATAGGGTTAATGATCGGATAGGTCTTATTTAGGGTTTGCAGATTTGAATCTTATCTTTTTTCTAAGTGAGGAGAACCAAAATCCTCAAAATAGGTTTTATGAACATAATTCTTTCCACTTATGGTATGGGAGGCAAGGTATAATTTTTGATAAGTGTGATGTCGGGCGACATCATTAACTTTTCTGCTCTTTTCACTCATTTCTCATTTGCCTGCATGAGTGCGCATAATGACAAGCAACTCGTAATTTGACTGTAAAACAATCAAGATTTATTTTTGACAGTTGTGTTTGATTAATAGTACTAAAATTTCATCCTTGATTGCTGCAATTTTACTGGACTGAAGAAATAAATCCTTGAGCTGAAAAAAATGTAAATACAGGTCGAAGTAAGATTGTGGTCTAAATAAGGGGTCGTTCTAAATAAGGGGATGGTTTTAGTAAGGAGTCGATCTAAGTAGAGGAGTGTTCTAAGCAAGTGTGTGGTCTAAGCAAGGGGGTGGTCTAAGCAAGGGGGTGGTCTAAGTAAGGGGGTACTCTAAGTAAGGGGGTGGTCTAAATAAGGGGTACTTTAATCCACGAAATCAGGTTAAGCTGACACTCGTCAAATGAGATACAACTTGCACTCAATAATTTGGGTGTCACGTGACCGGACCTACCTTAAAACAATTGGCAAAATGAAATGAAAAAACAGGTCCGATTTAGTAAAAAGCCATGTCACCTAAATGTTCCTAGTTTCACGACATTATAAATCCTTGAAAAATGGCGGCAAATGTAAAATCTTATTTTTTCTCAATAAACATTGGCAAAACAGAACCGTAAAACAGTAAYTGACTTTCCATCAAACTTTGACATTTGCGACCATTTTTGAAGCATTTAGTGATGCCATAGTACAACATCAACRTGCTCTTTGCATTTCTGGACATCATTTTGTGATAGGATTGATTTAAGGTATGTGTGGTCACGTGGTCCAGTTTCGGACGGGGACGTTCCGCTGGTACCACTAAACCCTGACCGTATTCAAGACACGAAGATCTTTAAATTCCATACAGTATTCAAGACAAATTGCTCAAATGTAGACCCGTTTACATAACCCAGGTAGTGTCCCCTTAAAAGAAATCGCTGGTTTTTTTTATTTTGACTTAGTTTAGTTTAATTACTCGATAAATATTGTCGAAATTTGTTTTCTTCGCGACGATAGCTCGACGTATGAACTGGGACTAAAAATTTTGCAAAATTAAATAATACATTACCTTCAGCACTAAATATCGCAGCCATAAAGTTCCATTCTAACACATGGATAGCTAGACTTGATCACGTGCAGTCTTACATAGCGAGCACGAGTAGGCGTAAACTTGTTGATGACAGGCGTAAAGAAATCGCAGTTTCCTTCAAAAACCTAAAGAATTTGATTGCAGTAGCCCCATACATTTGAAGAAATAGARCATAAATGAAAGGAAATGCCCTATCTCATAATGACAGCTTGTTTGTATTGGGGATAAATTAGAAACAATAGAAATTTGGATTTATTATTATTCTATTCATTTTGTTTTGATATATACCACATGTATCATTATATGATTGCTCATGTACTTTTTCTTTGATATGCAGTCATACTCCTTAGCTAGCGAATATCGTCTCAGAAGTCAAACATAAAAGAATCAAAACGAGGCATCGTGTATAAAGCTCAGTTAATCGTGAAAAACTATTGTCTTTCCCCGCGAATGACTGAGCTTTGTGCATGGCCTCTCGTCGTGGTTGATCAGGTTTTGTGTATGACAACTAAGGCAAARTTCGCAAGTCGTCTATTGGTTGTTTTGGTGTGGCGTTATAATGTCATAGGGCACACGATTATACCCTGCGAACAGAGTGTATTTCCTTACCTCAATAAAAATTCGCGAAGGAAAATAACACAGTGTTATTTTCCTTCGAGAATTTTTGTTGAGGTACTAAGGAAATACACTCTGTTCGCAGGGTAACACGATTACTGGCTCAGTAAGGTTATGTATATTATGTCGCCTGAGGGGACCCCCATATCTCTTCCATTTGGAAGCAACGAGTGCGTATGGTTGWCGCTTATTTTTGGGATCAAGATCAGAGATCTCAATATTTTTGAATAAACGTTTTTTTGCGCTACCATAAAGACAAAGCTGGTATTTTTCTATTTTTTATCCAATTTCACATACCTTTCTCCATATGAAATTTATTCTATATTTTCCTGAGTCATTTATTCATTTTTTTTTCTATACTCTCTCGACATTTACTTGTAATGATAAATTGAATATCTATCTGGTATTTCTGATGAGAAAAGACCTAACCTTCTCCTGTCCATTCTCCTTGTACATATGATATCTTTGACCATCAGCGCTGAACGAGAGTTTGTATTTCTGCACGACTTCGTGTGAATCGTCCCTGCCTGGAAAAAAGAATCCTATCATTATGGTTTGGACCTCTTTACAGTGTGGAGATTAAAAACYAAGTAAGCTTGGAATATCCAGGTGCTACCCTGGGATTAGGTGTTATACCGCACAAGAATATCGACCCCATAAGCAACGAACATGATACCAAGTATTGTGTAAATTGTTCTTTTATGCTGGATGAGGTGAAGGTCAATCGAGGAGTTCTATCAATACAAAAATTGTCCATAAATGGTAACAAGAGCATTGATCATGTTTATTAATTCTTCGTTTGCAATTACTTCACAGCGGCCATYTTGGATGAAATGATTTCCACAAAGAATTTCTCATAAGTATCTATTGTTCATTCCTCCAASATGGCCGCCGGTCTTTTATCTTTTAAATCTCATGAGAAAATTGAAAACGATCAATAGTCTCCATCACGGTTCTCTGCGCCATCTTGAAAGTTAGCCGTGCCTTTACATCGAAGCGAGATGAACGAAGAGCATTCAATGTTAGAAACCCTATTTTGTACCTACAGACGATTATTCACAGGTACTCTATCATATAGCCAGTTCAACAATCGTCTCGATCTTGCATCGACGAAAAGGCACCTCTACTTTTCAAGATGGCGCTGGGAACCGYACAGGACAATATATAAGGCATTTACGTCTTGACATTTTTAAATACAGATGCATGTGATATTTTTTGTCAACCTCAAGCCTTTGATAGGTGATAGACTGTCAAAGTGATCTTAATACTGGTCAAGTGACCTCGAATTTGAATTTTTGARCAGMCAATATTTTTTAAAAAAAGGTTACATCTCCACACRCCTGTGGTYTCCCCACTCCACACACTTCACACTCTCCACAGCCAATRCACCTTGTGCGACAAAACCTGACCGTTTATTACATTGAGAAAAGTGTTTGTACTTCTTTACCTRATTCAATATTTTGTGAACGCACTTTATTTGATTACAGTTAAAAATAAAATGTTCTTCCTGTTATATTTGGACCACATACCTTGTGTAGCAATGGCAGCAACCTTCATCTCTTTCCCAAGGTCAACACCAACGAACTGGTTGTCTCTGTCTGTAGCGCACCATGCACCAATTCGCTTTGTAGATGCATTATCTTCTTGGTACAAACGAGCATTTTTAGCAGCTGCGCTCCAATCACCTGASAATCAAATATATACAAATACAAACCAATACAAGAAACGAGTTTTCAAAGCCCTTTTAAGAGACCGATTTAGACGACACAACTTTTGCTTACAACCATCGCATGCAACCTGCGTAAGTCATCCTTACAACATGGCTACAACTGTCGTGAGGCTATTAAGCAATTGTTTAAAATCCCTACGACAGTTGTAGCCATGTCGTAAGGAYGACTTACGCAGGTTGCATGCGATGGTCGTAGGCAAAAGTTGTGCCGTCTAATTCGAACTAACACAGGGATTCCAAAGACAATGCAAACCAGGCCAGGTTCATACGGTGTATGTCACATGCATTCAATGCGTTGTGTAAAATGTTATTTCTTGGATGCAATGTAATTTCAAGAAAGACATGCACGAAACAAGAAAGGGAGGGATGATAATCAAACCCGGCAAATKACTGAAATACGTACGACTTGTAAACCAAAATGTACACTACTTATACCAATTATACCAAATTAGGAACATTATTGCATGCGTGAACCGGCGCCGTATTCAATATTTCAAAGAATGATATTTTAGCTATCGGTCTTTTTGTGCTGCCATTAGCCTTCTATATGTATTTAGCAATTTACCGCTACAAAAACGTTTATGATAATTATAATGCTTAAAAGCATTTAATAATAACTAATTACCTGGCATAAAGTTCGTAGAGGCAAAGAAATTTGCGTCGGGGAGTTTGTAGTTTCCAGGCCATCCCAGCCCAAGAGGTTGCGTGCAAACACCTGACAAAATCATAAAATTGAAAAACGCAATYATTTTATCATAGTATTTAATGCATCTACAGTATTATTTGAACTTTGAATGAAACTTTGGGTATAACATGCTCCAACAAAACCCATCTTACCGTCAGGTTTGACTGGGTAAGTATCACAYTTTGTTCTACAGCTTTTYCGGCACTTGTAGTCGACCCACGGTGATGTCCCACATTGCTTTAGGTGAGCATATTCCGGGCATTTATCAAGTAAATCCACGCATCGTAGACCTAAAAAAACTACTGAAAAAGACTACTCTGGGGACAACAGTTGCCAAAAATCACCTAAAAACGCCAATAGTAGCCGAAAAACCTTTCGCGCACATAACTRTCAGAAGTAAAAAGTCAAAACAGATGCATAAAAAATAATAGCTAGATCGGCCAATACATAAAATAATAGTTTGATCTACCAATACACAATATAAGAGACGGTTGTTGATGCAAAGATTGCTTCACACGTGTATTATGGAACCCACATTCCCTTAGTTCCCCATCGGAATTTTTGGGAAATACTGTAGCCTTGTAACTRGTTTTYAGTTTTAATTGTCTTAGTTTATAGAACTTCGTTTTTTTAATTGAATTAAGGGTTTTCCAGGGCCRGGYTGCGATTGCAAGAGAGGAGGGTCTGGGTAGGAGWATGCCTRTAAAAGAAAACAGGATTTTGAGTGTAGTTTTAGTASTGGGTTGTGTGGCTTATCGTACCTACACCTGTCCTTGGGGGAAGAGATGGCGTTGGCTTTGGCTCTGTAAAAGGAATAGAACAGTTTTAATTATGGAAAAGTCGCTTTGTCGCGCTTATCTCTCCATTCAAACTAATTCTACTTGYAGTAGTTCCCTTACTTGTGCATTTGTTGCACCTTTTGCAGGCCAAAGGACAATAAAATTTCATTTCATCCTCTTCGGTTTTGCACTTCCCTTCATTTGCCCACTGAATACACTCAAATTTATAATTCTTGCAGTAAGCTGAAAATAAAACAAACAATGCCTGAATTGATTATTTTAAAATTGTAGCTAAGAAGAGTCATATTAAAAACTGAATAAAAATATTTGTCACTAGCTTAAGATTTTAATGAAAAACGCAGACGTTTCGGTCAGAACTCTGACCTTCCCCATGCAGTGCGGTGTAATAAAAGAGCTAAGTTTGCACGGGTTTAAAAAAATTAAATTAGCGCGCACGATTTTTACAAGAATTTATGATTGTTCTGTAAGCTACGGGTATCACAGTTCTAACATTTCAAATTATTGCAAATCTTCTGCTTGATTGGTTGGTTGGTTGGTTGGTTGGTTGGTTGGTTGGTTGGTTGGTTGGTTGGTTGGTTGGTTGGTTGGTTACCTGATACACAATGTCCACATGTCTTGGGACACCAGTAAAACATGGATTTAGCGTGTTTTACACACAGTCCCTGCGCCAGAAATGACGCACATCTATCTGAACGATCTGCGCATTTTCCTGGCAATGCAGAATAAAAACAAACGAATGAACACGTTGGCAAGTTATATTTTCCACTTAACTTGGGAACGAAAGAAGTGGAAAATGTTTTTACATATGGTATTCTAATGGTGGACACTGAATCAAATATCATTACATGAAAATTGAATTCATACAGAATAGAATTGAGAACGCTTTACACTTGAATTATTCAGTTACAGTTTTCTATCACGCCACTTGTGCCTGGGCCCGAAAGTCTTTAGGAATATGATAAATGTACTATTYGCACTTTTTCGCTTATCCGCCATTTGCAGYCCATCCACCTGCACCAAAGTAAGTTTTGTTTATAGATAAGGAATAATCAGTAGACATATCAGTACTTGTTGTATGACTGTACATGTACGGCGTTATATGCTTGATAATAGCCGCTCCCGGTGATGCTTGAGAACTTTTTTGTATACTATCACAGCTGTTCCTATCTTGTACCTGTTGTAGACTGATTACACAGATTTGTCATATTCACATCTTACCAGCTCTTTGTTCAATCTCTGACTTCTTAAGTTCAATTGATCGTGGTTCTTTTATCGTAGAAGCCAATTTGTGCCCTGTTATGACGAACGTTTTGGGTCAAACCTACGTTATTTAAGTTTTTCGTGGTTGGGAGATGGGGACCAAGATTGGGGGGGAGGTGGGTGGTTGAGACACATGAATACATGACTAACCTGGACACTTGTACATTCTGTTTGCTTGCAATGCGTCATCATCACTAAGAGCAATGTATGGCAGCTTACCGTTCAGGTCTCTGATTGGCTGGATTGTTTCTTTACCATTTTTGGAGAATGCTGTCCATGGGTAGTGCATGATTGACGAGTAATCGTAAGGTACGTTATAATCAATTACTTCCGTCCCCCACTTGCGCTTGTCAAAATTGTACTTCATACCTAAAACAATGCAGAATAGTCGATAACAGATATCTGGTGCTGTTATATATGCAGGTGATGTGCTTACAGGTCGCGTTCACTCTTGTACARAAACCTCCGATAACAGTCTTTGTAGTCTTTGAACATTTATTTTCAGGCGCAAAAACTTTYGACACTTTTACACTACCTTAAGCCTCGCTAAAATTTGAATACAGTGACTACCGCTGACTTGTAGTCATAAAATAGAACAGACTCATTCAGGTTCAAAGGACAAGGGTTTACGGGTACACCTTCTTTCTTGAACTGCATTATTAATTAACTATTGACGTGCGGTCTTCCTCTCTTTTTATCGTGGCTTTTAAGACATCCCTTACGTTCCTCTCCACATGGAGATGGAATGCATTCTTTAATAAATTAAAATAATTAATTGATCAAGGGGCGAGGCTTGTGTGTGTTGGACTGAGATTGAATTCTCATAACAGCATTCGGTAAGGAATAATAACCCTTCAAATATCTATATAGTGTGAAATAACTATATCGCTAGCTGCTATAAAGYGTTAACAAAGGAGCCTACAGCGTCGCGCTAAGCTAGGTTAAGTATTGTGCAATAAATGTTCGTACAGAGTGATACATGCTTTCCAGTTTAGCCAGCTCAGAAACARGCACCGTTTGACAATAGAGCTACGTATCCTAGTTACTGACGAAAGTCGTTMATCAATGTAATGTCATAATCTCATTCTTACTGTCATCGACATTTTCCCATAATACCCTGATGTAGCTATCTCTATCAGGACGACTCTGTTCGTGCCAGAATCCAATAGCATGACCAAGCTCATGAACCATGACGTGCTTGTAATCACAGCCTTGACCCATTGACAAGTAATTCTTTCTGCCATAAACCATCCCAACCTCACTCCAACACCTTAACATTATAATAAYATAAAAATATAAGTGAAGTTGGAGAACAAAGTATTCACCACAGCAGCTCTACGCATAACTGTCCAAAAAAGGGGGAATGTTAAAGATTTTTGTTTCCCCAAAAAATAGGATTTCAAATAGTCTCAAGATCTTGTTTAATTTATAGTCTCCTGTGCAGCCGYTTTTTGTCGTGCACTATTTTCCTTTGGCATGTATTTGTGTGAGAATAATGTTCAACTGTTTAAAATACGACTGCGTGAAAAATATGCATTATTGGTTGTGTGATGCTTGCCTTTGATCAAATTAGCATATCTAACAATACACACATTGTCTSTCCTTTGAACAGTACTTACATCAAGACTGGTGAAGATGTTGCGCGTAACCATAATGCAATCATTAGTTTTGTTATATACATTATTATCTCCGAGTCAACAATAGTATTTCAACTCACCCCAGGGATCGATAAAACCAAATGTAGTTTGTTTCATTTGTTCGTTGTTTAAACCTGATACATGTCTTCTCTTCCCATGCGGACATTGCTTGTTTGATTGCACGTACCCCCCAGTCAAGACTCGCTGTTAAATACAAATAAATCGATTGGTAATTTTACCAAACGATCAAATCGACAAACTCAAAGTGTGTGTTGTTTCCCCTACTTTTTTAYGGTGTTAAATTTATCTTTTTACACAACTGTTTTTTTTTAGAAACATCGACGCAGCAAAGAATAGTTTATCGCTAGTTTTCACCATTTAAACTGTGTTAACTACTCTCCAATGCATTCCTAGTAAACGCTCTAAGAGCGTCTAAGCGCGGATTGCCACAAAGAGACCGTGACTTACCAACGCTACAATCCAATTCATAAGGAATCACTGCGCCAGGCCACAGTTTTGCTTTATCATTGGTCGCTGCGCGTGGACCACTTAACTCAGGGTCACCGTAAAGGTCAAGGTTACGTGACTGGTCAGCGGTTAGTCTGATATCACCTTCAAACAGGTTGCGATCACGTGGATTGTATGGGCCATTTTCTAGAATATGATATGAAAATGAGCKTGACATATGCTAACATCAAAAGAGCAAAATAGAAGATGCGAAATTTTCGAAAAATCCGTAAAGTACAATGACATGTTTAATTTACTACGAAGTTTGAAATTTTTCGTAAAGCGAAAGAGTAGATGTTTAAAACCTACTTAGAATTTTTTTGGAATTCTTTCTTTTGGTATAAAAACTTGATTTAAAAACATCAAGCAGTACGCCTGATGACTACACTATTCGTATATTATGTATATATCTGATTGAA